CTCATAGACTCAGGGGCTACCCGTAGTTATATTAGCCGTAAGGCGCTGAAGAAGTTGAGGCTAGGACTGAAGGTCCAGAAGTTAATAGACCCTATAGTCGGTGTTCTCGCAGACAACCGCACGATCCGAGTTGAGGACTACGTAGAGGGAGTCCAGGCATACTTTCGCCTATAGCAGAATGGAAAAGTGGAGAAGGTCCTCCATTCTTTGACTCTCCTCGTGTAGGATGACCTTCCTTTTGTAGTTTTAGGAATGGATTGGGGAGAGGCAGCAGGGGCCACACTCCAGTTGAGAGAGCATGAGTGTAGGCTCCCTAGTCCGTCAGGCGAGGCTAAGACTGCCCGCTTGTTCCATGTGTCTGGTGTAGACAATACCTTGGCACATTGCTGTCTCAGTGCTCCCGCGTTCGCGCGATTAGTCAAAAAGGAGCAGTTAGAGGAACAGGTCTTTGTAGTTTATGTTAGACCTGTCACTGAGGCCCAGGAAAAGGATAGTTCCACAGATCCAACAATTGCCAAGCTGCTGGAAGAATTCAAAGACTTGACTGAGTCGCCGAGAGTAGTGTCGCAACCCATCCAGCACAGGATAGAGATAGAGCCTGGCGGTAGAACTCCTAAGGGTGCAGTCTACAGGATGTCCCCTAGAGAGTTAGAGGAGCTTCGCAAACAGTTAGACGAGCTCCTTGAGAAAGGTTGGATCAGGCCCAGCTCGTCTCCTTTTGGAGCACCCGTTTTGTTTGTCCCCAAGAAGGAAGGAGAGCTGAGAATGTGTATAGACTATAGGGGATTAAATGCGATCACCGTGAAGAATGCTGAGCCACTACCCAGGATAGACGATCTTTTAGATCGGGTGCAGGGTTGTAAGAATTTCTCTAAAATAGACTTAAAGTCCGGATACCATCAGATATAGGTTCATCCTGATGATCAGTACAAGACTGCGTTTCGGACTAGATATGGGCATTATGAGTTTATAGTGATGCCCTTTGGACTAACCAACGCGCCAGCTACTTTTCAGCGTTGTATGAATGACCTGTTTAGACCATGGTTAGATAAATTTGTARTAGTCTACTTAGATGATATCCTAGTCTTTAGTAAGACCCTCCAGGAGCACCAGGGTCATCTGAGGCAGGTCTTGGAGAAGCTTAGAGAGGSTAACTTCAAGATCAACGCGAAGAAGTGTGAGTGGGCCAAGACGCAAGACGCAAGTCTTATACTTGGGCCACGTGTTGGACGAAGATGGCATTAAGCCAGAGGATAGCAAGATCGCGGCAATCAGAGATTGGCCGACGCCCCGCACATTGACAGAGTTGCGGTCGTTCCTAAGCTTAGCTAACTACTATAGGAAGTTCGTAAGGAACTTTTGTACTATCGCCACTCCCTTGCGCAGGTTGCTGAAGAAAGAGGCAATCTGGCAATGGGACAAAGACTGTACGTCTGCGCTCAAGAAGTTAAAGCGCGCGT